ATATATATATATATATAATTATATTAAAAACCCTAGAGTGAAAAGAGAAAAGGGTGGACGAAGGAGGGTACCTAGCACTGAGGTGCCTACACCTCCAACCGCTCAAGCAAACTGGAAACTGACAGCACGAACGCCACTGACATCGATTACCCGCCATTTGCTACGTCTCTAGCCAAGCACAGACGGGGTCACGGGGACCCCATCCTGGAAGGTATACAACACCAACAACACCCAAAATCTTCGTGATCTCTTTCAAGCCTTTCTGCCAAGTCATGTGCTGCCCACCTCGCGGTTTGCGCCATGCTGAAGGAGGCACGGAGAACAACACTCGTCTCCGTAGATGGCGGCTCGTAAAATGCCATCTTTTGGACGCCTGTATTCGCTGTTATTCGATGACTTGCGATGAACATGCGTTCGTTTGGTTCCCTGTGCTTTCTGGCGCAGACCCCTGCATTCGTGTTAAGCCCCTTGAACTTTTTAGACACTTTTGACCAGACCATCTGTTAGAAATAGTCCCCCACAGCGAGTGGACAGTGTAAAAATACGAAGGAAGTGCATGTGCCACTACATATTAACGGGCTTAAAGCGATTGGCTCCTCAAAATAGCATATACTGTTCATAATGCGATATCATCCATCCCTAAAGAAGCCAACAATTTTCCACGTGGGTATTTAGGGACGGCCCAATTCCGAAAACAATCAGACAATAAAATAAACAATTGTCGCCCTCTTCTTGTTCTGCAACTAAATAGAGAATTCAAATGCTCCAAGATGTTTATTATTTCTGTATGCTAATGTCTGTGAAGCCCACCAAAGTCCCTTGTCTGTTGCTCTTATACTTCATCAACGTCGTTTTTTGGCCCAACCGTCGTCCTCCCATTAACCAGTACACAGCTGCGAGATCCAGACGTTCTAAGATGCGTTGCTTTTCATGGACCTACTAATATGAGAAAATACTGAAAACATAAGAACCACGGAGCGCCCATCACAAGCATTCTAAGGTGCCTGAATCTACATGCGCCCAGTCAATCTGAAGAAAAACCGAAAACACGAACACCACTGGCCCTGATCAGCCACCATGCTTGCAATGTCTCCAGCCAAGCGCACGAGAGGTCACAGGGACTCCATCCTTGACCAACTGCACCAACAACAGCAAAACTCTTCCTGATCTTTTTCACACCCTTCTGCTAAGTCACATGATGTCCACCTGGCAGTTTGCGCTATTCTGAAGGGGGCACCGAGAATAGCAGGTGTCTTGGTAGACAGTGTTTCAACATGCAGAGCACACGGCTAAGCCCCTGCAGTTGATGTTTTCAGCGATTGAAATACCTGCGACATAACCAAACACCCGCTTTCCAATTATCTCGTTACGAATCCCTCGACACTATTCGATGACAGCAACGCTTTAGAGGCATCGGTGCAGTTCGATGGCTATTTATTAGGAGTAGGCTTTTTCCACTGTTCAACGTTAACTTCGTGATTTCGTTCGGCGCTAGCCTTACGGAGATGAACAAAACGCAAACAATATTTTTTCCGGGTGGCCGTCGTAGAAAACACCGCGGGAACAGACGTGTCCTTTTGGTAGCTCCCTAACCAGAAGAACATCCGAAAGGAGAATGGCATATCGAATTCCGTAAACCGAGTATCTTGAAGCAAACATGTATTATGAATATTGTTTGCAGTAGGCCGGGTCAACATTCATGTTGACCACATGTTCATAAACGTATCCAGACGGCATTCTGAGGGTGTTAGGGCAAAATATATAGGCAAATAAGCTAAGGTGACTTCGCTGCGGGTGCTTACAACACCGTGACCACAGACGGATAAACAAATCCGCAATGAGGACAATGATTGTGCAAGTGATTCACAATCTGGTTCCCCAAGATAGATTCGTAGCGGAATTTGAACGCTTATCACCTTTGTTACGATGCAGTAAGTGATAAACTCATTTACATTCGCGATTATGCGATTGTGCTAAAGCTAAATCAATCGGTTCAGGCATACTAGAATGGTAAGATCCACCTTATTGCGGCCACCACATTTTCTACCCCGTACAATAAACCCCAGGTCTGTTGCTGCTGAAAAATATGGAAATGGACTGAAATAAAGTCTGTTGGGTTTTAGTTAGGGAAGAATAAGCATATACAGAGGGGGTGCCATTGCGCAAATAAGTCGCAGACGATTGGAAGGTCGAAAAATTGAAAGGTAATGTAGAATACTTCGACGTATTCAGGAAAGCCCACTTGAGTGACGCGCAAAATCACGAGCCAGAAATTTTGGATCCTTGAGATTCATCAAAAGATGCGATTTGAGGGAGCGTTACGTCTCGCAAATGGGGCCAGCGACGAAGGAGATGAGACGGTACGGTCGGTCTCATCAGGGGCAGCTGGTCCGTTGAATACACGGTTTCTACATGCGTCCGGTATTCATCGTTCAGGATCTCGATGGTCAAACTAAAGGCTGTTGTACTCTTCTTCGAAGTTCCGTTGATCAAATCAAACTCCAGTTCTGTTGGGGTACCCTTCAATCCAATCTGGTCAGCGACTTCGAGCGACACCAAAGTAGAGTCTGATCCACTGTCTAAGAGCGCATAACACCGTACAGCGCCATTGGGGCCGATGAGGCGCACTGGAAGAACCCCTAGGAATGCTGACGGAACTTTCACTGAATTCGAGTTTACATTAGCAGTGTGCGAAGTGGGTAGCTTTACGTAGCTGTCCAAGTGCAGTAACCGATGATGGCGTTTGCCACATCCTGCCACGTCGCAATGATTAGGGGTTCGGCATTTGTCTGCTCGGTGGTTGGGTTTCAGACAATTAAAACACAGCTTATGTTCCCTCAAGGCCTTAATTTTCTGTTCTGGTGACTTGGCCCGAAATGCAGCACATTCGCATAAGGGGCAACACTGATGTTGATGTCTTTGATGATGATGATGAAGAGGTGATGTGCCATACATACGGGACAACTCAGAGCCTTAGATGCAACGGCGTTAACGTGTGGACGAGGGAGCTTGCTGCGTCGATTAACATCATCCACACCCCTATTGGACCCACGGTTAGCACTGCTAGCTAGCTGTCCGTACACGTTTGTCGCTGCGGACAGGTTTCTCTCAAGGAACTGAGTCAGCTGCCAAAAGGATGGCTCTTTTCGTTCGTATAGAATATTGTCAGCTACTTTTGCCCATTCTCGTTGGGGATGCCTGGGTAGTTGCATCACAAGCCGTTTCAGGTTTGTCGAGCAATTCAAGCCGGCAGTGTGCCCCATCTGGGTGAGTGCGATCTCGCAGCTATGCATTTCACGTACCAGCTTCCTTAGTGCGTCCGTGTCTTCAGCAGCAATGGGGCCTCCGACCATTATACTATCAATAAAGCTTTGCGCTATGTCATGGGCCCGTCCTTATGAAGGATATCCATGACTTTCACGAAGCCGTCGCGTTCTGGTAGAAACACACAATCTTCTGTTGCTGCTTTGGCTTCGTCAGTACAATGGTGAATAAGATACATTAGCCGCTGTGTATCGTCAACAAGTCTGCTGGCGACGTTCACTTGGAAGCTCTTCATAAACTTCAGAAATTTGTGTAGAGTTCCATCGAATTTGTCTGTTTCTATCTTTGGTAGCGCCATAATTGAAATAAGAGATTGCAAAGAAACCTTGTCGCGGATAAATACACCATTTGGAGCGTTAAACTCCTGGTTCCGGGCGGTACCGTCCGACTGCAGCTCATCTTTCGATTGGTAGCTCTGATGAATTTCCGAACGCAGACTGGCCAGTGCCTTACGTTTCAACCCAACCTTCCTTTTACTAATTTCTAGTTGACGCAAACTCTCTGCTAAGTCTCTCTCGAGCTTAGCGTCTAAATGCCGCGCAGAAGACCTATTAGATCTGGCCAGTCTGCGTTCGGAAATTCATCAGAGCTACCAATCGAAAGATGAGCTGCAGTCGGACGGTACCGCCCGGAACCAGGAGTTTAACGCTCCAAATGGTGTATTTATCCGCGACAAGGTTTCTTTGCAATCTCTTATTTCAATTATGGCGCTACCAAAGATAGAAACAGACAAATTCGATGGAACTCTACACAAATTTCTGAAGTTTATGAAGAGCTTCCAAGTGAACGTCGCCAGCAGACTTGTTGACGATACACAGCGGCTAATGTATCTTATTCACCATTGTACTGACGAAGCCAAAGCAGCAACAGAAGATTGTGTGTTTCTACCAGAACGCGACGGCTTCGTGAAAGTCATGGATATCCTTCATAAGGACGGGCCCATGACATAGCGCAAAGCTTTATTGATAGTATAATGGTCGGAGGCCCCATTGCTGCTGAAGACACGGACGCACTAAGGAAGCTGGTACGTGAAATGCATAGCTGCGAGATCGCACTCACCCAGATGGGGCACACTGCCGGCTTGAATTGCTCGACAAACCTGAAACGGCTTGTGATGCAACTACCCAGGCATCCCCAACGAGAATGGGCAAAAGTAGCTGACAATATTCTATACGAACGAAAAGAGCCATCCTTTTGGCAGCTGACTCAGTTCCTTGAGAGAAACCTGTCCGCAGCGACAAACGTGTACGGACAGCTAGCTAGCAGTGCTAACCGTGGGTCCAATAGGGGTGTGGATGATGTTAATCGACGCAGCAAGCTCCCTCGTCCACACGTTAACGCCGTTGCATCTAAGGCTCTGAGTTGTCCCGTATGTATGGCACATCACCTCTTCATCATCATCATCAAAGACATCAACATCAGTGTTGCCCCTTATGCGAATGTGCTGCATTTCGGGCCAAGTCACCAGAACAGAAAATTAAGGCCTTGAGGGAACATAAGCTGTGTTTTAATTGTCTGAAACCCAACCACCGAGCAGACAAATGCCGAACCCCTAATCATTGCGACGTGGCAGGATGTGGCAAACGCCATCATCGGTTACTGCACTTGGACAGCTACGTAAAACTACCCACTTCGCACACTGCTAATGTAAACTCGAATTCAGTGAAAGTTCCGTCAGCATTCCTAGGGGTTCTTCCAGTGCGCCTCATCGGCCCCAATGGCGCTGTACGGTGTTATGCGCTCTTAGACAGTGGATCAGACTCTACTTTGGTGTCGCTCGAAGTCGCTGACCAGATTGGATTGAAGGGTACCCCAACAGAACTGGAGTTTAATTCGATCAACGGAGCGTCGAAGAAGAGTACAACAGCCCTTAGTTTGACCATCGAGTCCCTGAACAATGATTACCAGACGCATGTAGAAACCGTGTATTCAACGGACCAGCTGCCCCTGATGAGACCGACCGTACCGTCTCATCTCCTTCGT